CCAGATCTCCAGATGCATTTGAGATATCAAAAAAGTACTCCAGAGTGTTGTTCAGCATGGGGGTGAGTAGAAAATGAAGGCTAATCATGTTTTAGGTGTACTATTCCTTTAAGACACTTTAGAAATGATAATATAATAATAATAATCAGATCACCAGTCAGATTGGTTAAAGGTTTTATTTTAAAGCAAAACCAGCAGATTGTATCCAGTCATTGGATTTGCAGGTTTCTCTCCTCCTGTTTGAGCACGTAGAGATATTCTCTTTCATTGTGTTCCTGTCTCTAAAGAAATCCCTCACACTGTGCATGCCTGAAGCGACAGTGGGGGAAAAAAACTCAGTTTTAATAGAGAGAAACCTCCAGCAGAGGCAGGGTTAGTGTGAGCGGCCTTCTGCCAATGGCAACTTGGGTTTAAGGAGACAGAAGTTTACATACAAGACGCTTATAGAAGCATTGATCTATAAATAATTTCTATGTTGGAAAAGGAAACTGTAAAATAGCTCCACAGGTGTCTCTGCCTATGAAATAGGCAATCAAGCAGGAAACTTAGCCAGTTCTCATTCCTAAAGGCTGACAGAGAGCGCATACAGTTAAAGCTGAACCCATAGCTATGTCTAGAAGAGAAACAGGCCAAAGTGCTAAAACAGAGACCCAAATCTATAATCCAAGGTGTTGATGGCAGCGGCTCAGCGTATATTTTTCTCGGGGATGGAGTCACATCCCAAGAAGAACAGACCAGATGAAGCTACTATAATGAGGAAACGTAGTGAGAGCCTAAAGTTTGGGATTAAAATGAGCAAATAATGAAAGAATTGAGAATAAAAATAGAATGAAGCAGAATGAGGAAAAGGGGTCCCTATGTCCTCCAGCAGTCTAAGCCTATAGCAGCATAACTATAGAGATAACTCAGGATAACCTGAGCCACTCTAACTATAAGCTTTATCAAAAAGGAAAGTTCTAAGGCTAGCTTTAAAAGTAGACAGGGTGTCTGCCTCACGGACTAAAACTGGTTGTCCTTTTAAAATGATGTCATTTAACAAGGAGAAAAAAAGTTACCAAATTCTGTTTCATAAAGATTTTTTAACTCCCCTGATCTTAATCTTGGAATAATTTTGGCCTACTTTTATTAACAGAGTTGCCTTAAATTAAGTTCTTGGTTTTGAATTTTGAATTGGTTTTTGAATTTGTTTTTTTACATTTTGAATTGAAAAAGCTTCCTGGATGGGAAGCTAAACGTCTTCAAACCTTGGAAACAAAGACCAGTGGATTGTTTTTTAAACTTTTTCAGAATGATTATGACCTGTATGACTGAGAATCTTCACCAGCATAAGTTCTTGGTTAAACATTTTAGGAAAAGTCACCCAGGTCTATAATCAGCAAGGCCGTAATAAGATTGTCATACTGCTGCCATCATGTTTTACACCTACTTTCTCTCTGAATGGCAGTGTTCAATTTAAACCAAATGTAACACCTTCCAAAAAGTTCAGCTTCTGTCTTGTCGGTCCATGAAATATTATATATTATATACAATTTAAGGATTTTATGATCCTTCCAGGGAAATTTCCGATGGTTCTTCATGTCGATGGGTGTCATCAGCAGTAAAAAAATAAATAAAAAAAAAGTAGCCATTGAGTTGAGTTCTCTCATGGTGCCATTTTTACCTAAACCGATCTAAAAGGGCATGCTGAGCTTTAGAAATTGCTTTAGGGTATTTTATGATCTCCTGGGTTATTTGTCGATAGACTCCTTTGAGTAATTTCTTTGACTCACCCGTACTGAGAAAGTTCCTCACTGTTCCTTGGTTCTATTCATTTCAGGATTATGACTCTGTCTGGTTTCCTGCAGTTCGAAACCTTAAAAATAGTTTTGTTGCACCTCTTCCCACACTGGTATGGAGGGAATTTTGTTGCATTATTTTGCAAACAAAAAACACTTTTTGTAAATGAAAATCCCCAAAGGGGTTTGGTTAAATGCAGAGTTAATTCATTGCTTTGTGCTTATAACAGTGTAATGACAATAAAGTTCAATTCTATTAAAAGTTTGAAAAAGTTAAAATCTGAATGTCAGAGTAAAAAATAAATTGAAACCATTTTTTTTCTTTATTACAAAGTTTCATTACCCGATTGCATTATTTTTTTTATTTCCATTTCAAAAACATGTTCTTTGCTTAAGATAGATTGATAGATATCAATGGATTCCTTCATGTCTTTTGATGGAAAGAAAAATAAAGAAAACTCCTGTTACTACAGATCTTGTTGTCTTTAGAAGGTTCTGTTAAAGGTGTAGCAGAGAATTTTCATCTAAATAAGTGGTCCTCTTAATTGTCAATCATTCAGGTGATATGTTTACGTAAGGCGGCTTTGTGCTCCTTCCGTTAGCTATCTTTTTCTGCACATGCGCACTTTCAGGCATATATCTATGGTGAACTATGGCTTCAGACAGTCATTGAAGCTCACCTTTCCCACCATGGTTCTTTCAAAATGGCTGAGGGTCATAAGAGAAAGAGTGTATTCGAAGTGTATGAGAAGAAAAGAAAGGCCTCGAAAGAGGCAGATATATCCAGGAGTGCTTTGCCCGGGGGGGCTCTCCCCACAAAGCATTATGGGATGTTGCCATAGGCTGCCACTACCTGACAGCGGACGACTAATAACAAAGAAGGCACATGAACCGCGCAGAGGAGGAGGAGTTACATGACCAATGGGGAGTAAAAAGTAGTGGTCCTCTGAACAGCCAGTTAACTGAGTTCCATATAAAGTCCACCATATAGACCCCACTCTATATAGTGATGGAGGGATTTAAGGGTTAGGGCAGATGTTCGGACACAGAAAGCTTGTATGAGCAATAAGAACAGCAACTTTTAACCTGAAATGGGATCCTGCACACTCTCCTTCATAGGCGTTCCCTCCCTGGAGCAGGTACAGGGTTGTGCATGTGCATTTTTTTTAAAGTGGAAAGAGTCTTTTAAAAGATTCCCGAAGATTCTCCACTATACCTTTAAATTTATGCAGAATAAGGAGTCCTTATTGGTGAAACATTCCTCAAAGAAACAAACATAAAGCAAATTTCAGATATAT